AAATCACCTTGATCTCTGTGTGGGGTGAGACCATACAATTTAGATTCAGGACTATGACATGCTGTACTTCCTACATTTCCCAAGGGAATGGAGAAGCACAGGGTTTTATTAAAAAAAAAAAAAAATCAGCCCACTGGCTAAAAATACAAATTGCAAGATTTAGAAGGAGTGGCACAGCTGGATGTGTGGCACACTCAGGAGGCTGAGGCAGGAGGGCTGCCTTGGGTTCAAGGCCAGACTGGGGTACAAGGTGAGACCCTGTCTTAAATAAAAAATAGAAGGACTGATATAATAAGTGTCATCATTGACAAATCTAGTTACAACATTTTTATTATTTATTGTATTTTAGAACAGTGTCTACAGATCTCCCTGTGTAGATCGGATTTGTAGTACTCCTCCTGTTTACAGCTTCCCAAATGCTGGGATTAGAGGCACGCACCACCATGTCCAGTCTCAGTCGCCGTCTCAGCGTGCCCTGGGGACGGGCCGGCATGATACGCCTGGGGATTGAACCCCAGCCACTGCGCTCTGCCTAAGCAGGCATTTTAATTTGCTGAACTATTTGACTGGCCCTAGTTAACAACATTTTTAAAGATTTCTATTTGGCATGAATACAAAGGCTGCCATTTGTAGGTTACCTTCAGCTTTAAAAGAACTGGCTCATATTAAAGAAAATTATATCTAGTAATAGGTCCCAAGGTTTGAGTTCCATGACTCAAAAAATAAGAAGAACCTTAGAGTATCTTAATTTTTGAAAATGTTCATTAGTATGTGTATTACTATTATATATTGCAATACATAATGATTGCATTCATCACGTGGAGTTGGCACGTGTACACAGCACTTCTACTCCTCCTCATGTCCCTGTCCCCTCCCCTCAATTTTCTCAAGTGGCGCTTATCCCAGTGACGACATCATTCTTCTATCCCACTAAGGATCAGGGCCTTAGTTTTCTAAGTCTTCCCATAGACCTCCCCTTGTATTTCATAGACTCTCAAGAAGATGAGCTCAGACCAGCGTATCTCCTTTGGTGTTTTGTTATGATATTTGGACGTGTAATTTCTATTTTTAAGGTCAATATAAGAAATGAGTTTAATGCTGTAATGAAGGAATGCTCTAGTGAAGGAAGTGATTCATATATATGGTAATTATATTCCTGGAAAATTCAGTTTTCATTATTACCCATATGAAAGTGTCTTGGGATTTATATGAAAAATAAAATCTAGGCTCATTTTCAGCCACATGAACACTTAAGAAAATTACATGCAAATGTTGATATAAATTATCCTAAGATATAAATGTCATAGAAAAGAAACCAAGATGCTTACTGCGGCTAAGGCCTGAATGAAGTAGATCTGCATGCTTAGTATTACACATGTGTGCATATTACACATGCGCACACACACACACACATGCACACACACAAGCACGCATACTTCTTTTGGGATGATGGGTATCAAACCCAGAACCTTGTGCATGCTAGGCAAGTGCTCTACCACTGAGCTGTATCACCAGCATTTAATTATACTTTTTTGATATTTAAACTTTTCTATAATCTGAATTATTTTCATCATCATTTTCTTTAAGGCAGGTCCCCGGAAGCACAACCTGCTCAGACAGGGATTACACTTTTAAAAGACATTTAGAAGAATATAGGATGTTCTTTTTATTGTTTTTTTAAAAGGGGGCTTTTACTTTGTTCTTTTTTTTTTTTTTTTTGGTACCAGAAATCCAACTCAGGGCCTTGCTCTTGCGGGGCAGGGACTGCACTGCTGAGCTGCATCCTGGCCCTTTTACATTGCTTTTAAAATCTTAGACCCTTTACAAAATGAAAGTAGAAGGTTTTAACATTTATCCTGTGGGGCCTGGGCTATAGCTCACTGGTGGAGCACTTAACGGTGTGTTCCTGGCCCTGCTTCTACCCCAGGCATCCCTCACGAACAAGCAAACCCGTTACCTCTCAACTCCTACTGCTGAGTGACCTGAGACTTATGTGGCCCTTTACAAAATGAAGGTCGGAGTTTAAGCATTGCTCCCTGGACTTATGTTGCCATGTGACTTGGAGTTTGTGCTTCCACAGGGGAAGCCCAGCCTGGCTCCCCAGCTCACCCGCAGCTCAGTGGGCAGGGCTTGTTTGGGAGGGCAGAACTTGGGATGGAGAAGGCAGGGAGGTAGAGGATGGTGCCTGGAATCCCATCCTTCTCTGCCCTGCATCCTCCCTGGGGGACCCTCCTGGGGAACGGAATGTTTTCATGGCCCTCACACTGCTGCCACAGGTTTGTGAGGTTCTGTTGCCCTGGAAACCAGCTGTTTCCAGTGTCTGCCCAGGAAACAGCCTGGACCCAGGGCCTCCATGAATGACAAGCCCACTCTGAGGACTCGCCCCACAGTCCTGTCCGTCATGCCCACCCTTTCAGTGTTTGCAGATGTGCCTGTGGCCCACAAGCTGGAAGGCAGTTTGCTAAAGGCCTACAGACAGGACAATGACCCTAGCAAGATATTTCTGGTCTACAGAGGTAACTCTGGTGCTTGATCTCTATGTTCTGGCTAAGCAGTATTCCCCTGCTGCTGAGGCTGGGCCTAAGCCCATGCAGGCAGGAACATCTGGGCCTGGTAACAGAACTCTCAGAGGGAGAAATGGGCAGAGAATGTCCCATGTGCTTCTGTGCCCTCTTCCCACCGCAGCGGCTCCTGGGGATTTGGTAGGAACTATGTACTCTTCCATGCTCTGTGCTTGGGGCCTGCGTGGACCCCTTTCTCTGTGCTCTCTTCCTCTTTCCTCTCTTATCTCTTTCCTCCTTCCTTTTTCTTCCTCTCTCCTTCTCCCCTTCTCTTTGATATTCCTGAACTAAGAACACACATGCTATGTAATCAGCCCTTTTCAATGTGAAAGTCAAGGTTGCCTTTGTTTAGCTTTGTGTATCTGTAACTCCCATTTAGAATATAATGTCTAGCCTTTAAAATGGCATAGGTCTAGCTAGGCACATAGTGCACACTTGTATTCCTACTGACTCATGAGGCTGAGGCAGAAGGATCTTAGTTCCAGACCAGCCTGGACAACTTAGTAAGACTCTGTCTCAAGATAAAATAAGGGGTGTGCCAAGGATATAGCTCAGTGGTATAAGTGCCTGCCTGGCAAGTGTAAGGTCCTGAGTTCTATCCCTGGTACTGCAAAAAAATAAATAAAAGATCAAGGTAAAATAAGGGGGAATGGGAAGATAGCTCAGAGGCATAAGCATCTCTCTGGCAAGCACAAGGTCCCGAGTTCAATTCTCCCAGACCTGTGGTACATGCCTGTAGTCCCAGCACTCGGGAGGTTGAGACAGGAGGATCAATAAGAGTTCAAGATTAGCCTGGGGGCTGCAAAAGTGAGCACAAGTCCATCCAGAACTACATAGTGAGACCCTGTCTAAAAAAAAAAGAGAAAAAAAGTATAATAAGGGCTGGGGCTATAGCTCAGAACAAAGGCCTATGTTGAATTCCTAGACTTGGGGGCTGCAGCTCTTCAGAGCCCAAGGGCCTAGGCCAGACTGGGTAGTGGGCTGTCTGCACAGGCCCTGAGCCCTCTGTGTCTTTCCTCAGTCTGCATGACCGATGAAGGCCTCCCCTGGGTTTCCCTTGTGGTGCACAAGACCCGACTGCAGATTGCCCAGGACCCCTCTCTGGTCTATGAGTACCTGCCTGGCCTGGGCTCGAAATCATTCATCCAGGCCTCCTTGGAGCTCCTCTTTGGCAAGCACAGCCCAGTCATCATGGAGAACAGGGTAAGCCACAGACCCTGGAGGTTTGGACCTGTAGGGGTCAGTCCCTGAGACAGCAAATCCTCCCAGTTAGCCTGAAAGGCAGAGCCAGGCTCTACACCCTAATCCAGAGCCATCTGTAGACTCCTCAAGACAGAAGGTTGGGGGTGTGACTCAGTGGGAGAGCATGGGCTTGCCATGCACAAATCTGACCTTGATTCCCAAAACTGGAAAAGAGAAAACCCAAACACTCAGAGTCTGAGGTGGTGTTACTGTTTCCACACTTTGCTCACAGGCAGGGGGTGTGCACACTGTTGGTGAGAGTGGCTCCTTCCGGCTTGGGGCCCAGTTCCTCAGGACATGGCACAGGGGCACTCACACAGTTTGCATCGTCTCTTATCAAAAAGGTGAGCGCTACCCACGATGAGGGTCACCGAGGGTCCCCATCCCAGCTGCTGATCCCCACCCTATGGCCATCTTCACCTTTCTTTGGCATGAGAACAAAGGCAGACGATGATCTTCATCCCCACACTCCAGTACCTCTGCCTCCGTTTCTCCATCATACCATAGCTTGGGGGTGGGGTGTTTCCCACAGAAAGCCATGGACTCATCTTCCAGGACATGGGCTTTGAAGTTTATGAATACTGCATCTGGGACCCCAAGCAGAGGCGCTTGGACTCCAATGTGCTCCTCAGTGTGGTGGAGGTAGGGGCCCACAGACCCAACTCACAGTCTTTCTTCCCTTGCCCCACCCTCACTCATACAAGCCTTTTAGTAGGAACCAACGTGGAAGAGCACTTCCTGCTGGCCCCTTGGGAGAGGAGGTGCCTTACCTGACCATCTCCACCCACAGCGGGCGCCAAGCGGCTGTATCCTTGTGATTGGGAACCCTGTTGACTGCAGATTGACACAATCTCAGTGGGCAAAGCTGATGTCCACCATGAAGGTGAGCCTAGCGGCCCCGTGGGCTTCCTCCCTCACCACCTGACATCCCCTCCATCAGCCTCATACTTCCTTGGTTCTCCTTTCTCCTGCAGAGCAAGCAGATATTTCCATTTCTTGACATTCCTTGTCAAGGTTTATCCACTGGTGACCTCGAAGAAGATGCTGGAGTCCTGCAATACTTTGTATCCTGGGGCTTTGAATTCTTCTGCAGTCAGTGTCTGTCCAAGAATTTTGGCATTTATGGTGTGGACCAGGCAGAAAGAGGAGGGAGAGTGAGGGGGGAAGTGGCACTGCTCTCACAGCGTCAGTGATGTTGCTTACGCCACCTGTCCTCTGGAGGGTACCCAGGGCTCCAGAGAGCATGATGGAGGCCAAGGGAAGAGCATGAGCTAAATGCCAGGTTCTGTTATTAAAACCAGCAACCTGACCCAAAGTTGGTTAAATCATTCCGCCTGCTCAGGCTTCTGTTTCCTGGATGGTAAGATGAGAGGGCAAGACTTCGTGACCTGTGAAATGCCTTCTTCCTTGAGGACTCTTGTTTCTGGGAACATTTTCTAGAAGAGGAGGCTCTGGCACCTTTCCGGGCCCAGGTGCCATGCTGGGCTGGGGTGAAGTTTCCAGAGCTCGGCCTCTCCTGGGCAAGGTGGGGAGGGTGTGGGTGAAGGCCCTGATCCTGGAGGAGGGTGCTGAGAGGCTGTTTTGCTCATCCTGCAGATGAAAGCGTGGGCACCCTAGTGGTGGTGGCACTCAACAATGAGCAGCTGCTGTGCGTCCTGTCCCAGCTGATGAGCTATGCCCAGGCACTGTGGCTGAACCCTCCTGCCAGGGGGTCTCGGATCATCACCACCATCCTCTGTAACCCCACGCTGCAGGAAGAGTGGTAAGGAGGAGGCCTGGGACAGGGCAGGTGGCTTGAGCCCTGAGGTGCCCACAGATTGGCCACTTGGCTCCCTGCCCTTGTAGCTTCTGTCTCTCCTCATTCATCAAGTTTAATGAGGGCCTATGAACACCAACGGCTGAGGCTATGCAAGTCTTCTCCTTGCAAAAGTGTCAACAGGACATTCACTGTAGAGCTAGGCCCATGAGCTATCTAAACACTTGCTCCAGCAAGTGCTGCCTATGAGCCTGCTTTCATGCTTAGTTCATAAGGGATCAGTGGCACTCAGCTTTGTATTTGTTAGCAAAATGCCTGAGATATCAATTTAAAAGGGAACGGGCCTCTCATTTTGCAGCTTTGGAGGTTTCCGTCCACATCAACTGATTTGTGGCTTGGGCTTGTGGGGAATCAGGAAGTCATGGCAGGAGAATGCATGAAGCAAGCTGCTCACGTCCTGACTGCTGAGAAGCACAGAAAGAGGAAGAGGGAGAGGGAGGGCTCCTCTGGGCTTCCTCTATTGACTCTTCTTCTTCCTGTGCAGCCCCACCTCTTCCCACCAGCACAAGAAGCTGCTGTGCATTCTTTAGTGATTGGGCTTCTAGGAGACTCCTAAGATACGAGCTACAGCAGGCTCCCGCCCCCATGACCATCCCAAAGCCCAGCCTCCTCTGGTGCACTTTCAGGCTCATGTCTGGGCTGTGCAAGGTGCAAAAGATGAAAGGCAACAAGGAGGCCTGAAGGTGGGCTGAGAGGGCAACCTCAGACTCTCACCTCTTTCTGTCCATCCTCCCAGGAAGCTGAGTCTAAAAGCAGTTGTTGAGAAAATGATGCTGATCAAGGAAAAGGTGAAGGAGAAGCTCCGGCTCCTGGGCACACCTGGGTCCTGGGACCACATCACTGAGCAGACTGGGATCCATGGTTACCTTGGACTCAGCTGTAAGTGCATAGGTGGGGTTGGCTCTCCCTTTTCTGGCTTTAAGTCCCTCTACAGGAATATTATATTTTGCTGATGAGGGGAGCACTCCACAGCTTTGCTCCAAGTTTTGTTTTTTTTTAATTTCCTTTGAAAAGTAGGGTGGCCCCAGCAATGCTGAGTCTTCCTAGCCCATATAACCCTGCCTGGGCCTGAAGGGAACTAGAATTGCCCTCCTCCCCCAGGACCTGAGATCTTGTGACTATCACAGACCAACAGGTACAATACTTGATCAAGAAGCACGTCTACATTCCCAAGAACAGTCAGATTAACTTCACCTGTATCAACACCAACAATATAGAGTACATCACTCAGAGCATCAGCGAGGCTGTCTTTTCCACAGAGCACACAGAGAACTAGCTTTTCAAAAAAAAAGACCCCTGATGGGAATTAAAGCTTCGGTCTTTGTGAAAATCCTGTGCTAATTATTCATTGCAACAATTTATTATTTTCATTTACTTTCAGCAAAGAGGGAAGCACCATGGAGAATGGAATATCTATGTCCACTGATCATCTTGTATTTACTAAGCATCTATTATTATTATTATTAGTAGTAGTAGTAGTAGTAGTACCAGGGATTAAACTCAGGACTTTAGGCTTGCCAGGCAGACATTTATTTTACTGAGCTATCTCCCTGGTCCCAGCATCTATTATGTTGAAAACCTCATCTAGACATCAAAGGAAAGGCATAAAACAGACACAAGCCAGTCTCCCCCCCCACCAC